CTATACTATACTATACTATACTATACTATACTATACTATACTATACTATACTATACTATACTATACTATACGATACTATACTTAGTGATCTCATCAGTTCCTATGAATTCAATAATCCCATCTAGATTAATGATTTCGAGATCTAGCCTCAACCTCTTTCCTAACCTCCAGTCTTGTATCCCCAGCTGCCAACTGGACATCTCGAACTGAATGTTCATTAAATATCTCTAACTCATGTCTAATATTTAACTCATTTTCCCTCTCCAGTTTCCTAACTTCCATATTACTGTTGAGGGAACCACTATTCTTCCACTCACCCAGCCTCACAACCTAGATGTCATCCTCACCTGAGTTTCGTTTCCTCAACTATTGAACAGAGATAATAACCCCATCCCTTACTACTGATCCAAATGAGATAAAAGTTTGGGACTAGTGCCTTAAGGAGGATAAAGTATTGTGATGTGAGATATAGAAAAATGTGAGGTATAGAAAGGATTCCTGGGCAGCAATCCCTGACCAAAGTGGGGCCCAGAAAGAGAAGAGGTGTTTGGAATTCTTGTTGAGTCATTTTTGCTCCCTGGGGGTTAGTAGGAGCCAGAATTTAAACACATTCCCCCAATTCCCAGTTTAACCTTTCCCATAGGAATCCCCTACACCCATTCCATCCCCCTTCCCTGGCCCAAGGGTGCATACTCACAAAAAAACTGTCATATTGACATGGCCAGCAGCAGACAGGCGAATCCCATAATTAGGGATAAATTTCAGATTAAAGTGGGGAATATCGCTGTCAAGCATAAAGACCCTGAGGGATGAGAAGTGAGTGTTAGTGAATGGTTTCCAGGATGAAAGTGTGTTCCAGCTTGGACCCTGAGGCCAGAGGCAGCCAAGCAATAGTTAGAGCTGTGGCCTAGAGCAGGAGAGCCAAAATCAAGGTGACTGGATGTCTCATAGCCAATTTAAACCCAACATTTCAAAACAGAACTCATGATCTTTCTGCCCAAACCCACCTCTCTTCCAGACTTCCCTATTTCTGTCAAAGGTACCACCATCCTCAATATCTCCCAGGTACTCAGCCTCAGGGTTATCCACGACTCCTAATTCTCCCTTGCCCCACATATCCAATCAATTGCCAAATCTTATCATTTCTACCTCCATAACATCTCTCAAATCTAACCCTTGTCCTTCACTCACACAGCCATTGCCCTGGTTGAGGTCCTCATCACCTTTGGCCTAGACCATTGCAATAGACTAATAATAATAATAATAATAATCTCCTTGCCTTAAGTCTCTCCCCACTCCAATTCACTTCATTTCACACAGCAACCCAAGTAATGTTCCTTAAGCACGGACTTAGTCATGTCACTACTCTCCCCTCTCACCTACCCCCCCTCAATAAATTCCAGTAGTTGTTTATAACCTTTAGGATCAAATACAAATTCTACTGTTTGGCATTTAAAGATCTCCACAACCAGGTCCCTTCCTAGTTTTTTAGTCTTAGTACACATTATTCTCCTTGCACCCTATGATCCAGTCAAACTTATGCAGCATACCATCCCCCATCTTTGGGATGATTTTTTCAAAGATGCCTTTGCACTAGCAGGCCCCCATGCCTACAATGCACTCCATCCTCACTCCTTCCCCTTTTAGAATCCTTTAAGATTCAGCTGAAACCCTACCTACTTGAAGCTTTTCCTTATCTCCCCCCTTACCCCCTCACCATAGCTCCTAGCACCCTCCCTGCCAAAGTGACCTTATACAGTACTTAATGTATGTATATGTATGTGTGTGTACATATGTGTATATATACATATATATATATATATATTCAGTATTTATTTATCTATGTTCATTGTGCCCTGCCCAACTAAATATAAGTACCTTGAGAGTCAGGACTGTTCCATTTTTTTTCTTTGTAACCCTAACACTTAGCAGAGTCCCAGGCACATAGTAGGTGCTTGATAAATTCTTGCTGATTGATTGATTGGCAACAACAGGAAAGGGCATGCTGAGAAAGTGTGGTTGTGGATAGGTCATTCCCTTTTCTGGTCCTCAGTTTACTCATTTTTTAAATGAGTAGGTTTGACCTTCTGACTCAGAATTATAAGGCTTTAAGATCCTTCCCTTCTCTTCTAGAATGGCAAAATGTCAAGGGCTATGCCAGAGAGATTTGGGCTCAGTAACACCAAAAATGAAAGTTAGGTTCCCCATTGAAACCATTCCATGTAGGTAAGACAACTGCCTGGGCCTATTGCATAGACATGAGTATAGCTGGCACATGCCACATGACATGAGTTCCCATTTTCCCTTCCAGAGAGTTTTCCATGAATGAATGAATGAATGAAAAAGCATTTATTAAGCGCTTATTATGTGCCAAGAACTATGTTGAATTCTGGAGGACACAAATAGAAAAGCAAAGACAGTCCCTCTTCTTTTTAGGCTATTGGGGTTAAGTGACTTGCCCAAGGTCACACAGTTAGTAAGTGTCAAATGTTTGGTCTGAGGCCAGATTTGAACTCAGGTCCTCCTGACTTCAGGGCTGGTGCACTATCCACTGTACCACCTAGCTGCCCCAATAGTCCCTCCTCTCAATAAGCTCACATTCTAATGGGAGACACAGCACACAAGGAAGGTTTCAGCTCTAAGTGAGAGGGAAAAACTCCATGGTGATGACTACCTTGTCAGGGTCTACAAGGAGTCTGGCAGTGAAGTCCATCTGCACAGCCTGCTGGTGAAGGTAGCCCAGAGGTTTACCCCATGAACAATGCTCTGTTAGCACACAAGCTCTGTGGGAACATGGAGTCCTACAGAGAGGCCCCTTACAGGAAGGGAGCCCCTAACTCAGGCACTGAAAGAAGACATCACAGATCTAAAGCTGAAAAGTAGCTAGGTGGGGCAGTGGATAGAGCTCTGGACCTGGAGTCAGGAAGACCGGAGTTCAAATCCAGCCTCAGACACTTACTAGACATATGACCTTGGGCAAGTTACTTATCCTATGTTTGCCTCAGTTTCTTCAACTGTAAGATAGGGCCAATGGCAGCACCTATCTGCCAGGGTTATTGTAAGGATCAAATGAGATAGCATTTGTAAAACAATTAGCATAGTGCCTAACACAGAGTAGGCACTCTATAAATGCTCAGTATTATTATTATGAAATAATTGAGTCCAGCCCCCTTTTTTACAGAGAAGCAAATAAAAATCTAGGAAGATATTGCTTTAGAATCTTACAATCAAAGCACCCCAGAGGTTAAATAAACTACAAAGGGCACCTAGTCCATCCAACCCCTAGCAGAGCAGGAATACCTTCTATAATATGCCCTCAAGCAGTCATGCAATCTTTGTACACCTCCAATGATGGGGAGCTCACTACCTCCCAAGCTCTTTCCATTATACTATACTAAAGAAAAGGAAGAGGGATGCAGTTTAAAGGAGACTCCATCCTTTGGCTTGCCCTAGGTCACATAGCTAGTAACACTCCAGAGCCACCATATAATACCACACTGCCTCCCATGGGAAGGCCTAAGTGAATAAATGCTTCTGCTCAGATGGGGAGGATAGGAGATCAGGGACACAAGCGTTTACAGTAGTTTGACTTGGGCTGACTAAGGACTGTCTGGAAAGGACCAGCAATAGCTTATGAAAAACGTCAGGGGGGACTAGCCCAGCTGGGAACTTACGAGGTTCGTTGGAAGTAGCCTTCTTTTGGGTCAAGGAGATCAGGGAGTTGGATCTTCAGGGCGTTCTGGAAAGCCGTGCGCCCTATCTGTGCCACTGAGTAAAAGAGGCAGCATTTCAGGGTCATTGCTATGATGCTTTGTGAGAGCTATGACAGACCTTAGAGTCCACCTAATCTATCCCCCTCATCATATAAGAGGGAAAGCAACTTGTCCAAGGTAATACAGCAAAGCAGAATCAGAACCCACATCTCTAGTATCCAGTCTTTCCCCTCTAGGACAGCATCCTCCGGATTTCCCCAGACTTGGGGCCAGAGAGGAAGTTCCACGCCAGACTTTGAGGAAGGAGAAGAAGGAAATGAGTGCTTACATTTACAAGCACTTTATAGTTTCAAAGCACTTTATATCCGTTACCTCAATTGACTCTCACGACTGCCCTGTGGGGTAGGTAGAGAAAATATTATCATCCAGCATTTGTCGCTCAGTCTGCGCTTAATAAATGTTTATTGATTGACTGACAGACTATTTGACAAGAGAGTAAATGGCCTCATGGAAGGAAAGTACATTACTCAAGGTCATACAATTAATAAGTGGTTAAACCAGGACAGGAAATCCAAATTTTCCTGTTCAGATCTTCAGTATTTTTCAGATTCAAAGTTCAGATTCAAATTTTCAGATTCAAAAAGTTCAGAGATAATTAGAATCAAAGCACCCCAGAGCTTAAATGAACTACAGAGGGAACAGGAAGGCACTCTACAACATGCCCACAAGTGGTCATGCAATCTTTGCACACCTACAGTGATGGAGAACCCACTACCTCCTGAGCTCCTTCCACTGTACTATACCAAAGAAAAGAGAGAGGGATGCAGTTTGAAGGAGACTCCATCTTTTGGCTCTTTACTGGGAGGATGGAGGGAGAGTAGCAGGATCCTAGACCCCTAGGGCTCAGCATTCCGGAGAGATGACTAACCCCGAGGGAAGGTGTGCCCTCTGAATTCCCAGGCCAGTCACATAATTTCCTCTTGAAATCCACAAAGGCAGATGCAGCCCTGGCGGGACAAAAGAAAGTCAAACAGAGCCGGATGACAGAACCAGGAAAAGAGCCGGAGCCTCTCAGACCTAGTTATTCAGAGGCAATCATCCATTTCGCTTGTGTATCTGTCACACTGACCCACCACGGATCACTGACATCCTTTATCCTCTGCCAGCAGAAGGAATCCGACAGCCCTCCTGGCCTAGATGTGAACCAAGACCAGAAGGTTCCAGCAAAGGCTACTGCAAATTTCTAGGTGACTCTGCTGGGCACATTTTAGGAAGGATATTGACAAACCAAAGCATGTGTCCAGAGAAGGGTGACCAGGAGGGTGAGAGGACTAAAGGCTAAACCAGGATCAGTTGAAGGAACTGGGGATGTTTAACCTAGGGATTTTGATAACTCTTCAATTATTGAAAAGGTTGTTATGGGGGAAAGGATTCATCTCAAAGGCAGGACCAGAACAATGGGGTGGAAGTTTTCAGCTCAATAGTGGGTAGAGTCTCTGAACAGTTAGACTTGGATGTTTGTTTTTGTTTTTGTTTTTGTTTTTTTTGGCAATTTGGGGTTAAGTGACTTGCCCAGGATCATACAGTGAACAGTTAGACTTGGAAAAAAAGTATAGTGGGTGCTTCAGGAATAGGTGTGTCCCCATAAGGACATCTTCAAATGAGGATAATAAAAAACTCTGCTTACATCCCACTTCCACAAGAGGCCTTTGGAAGGGAGGTATATGTGGGAGGGGGACAGCTACCAGTCTTCCCTTACAGATGACCTTCCATTAACACTATATACATCTCATATGTACATGGTTGTTTTCATATTGTCTATCCCATTAGACTATCAGCCCCCTTGAAAAAGACTTACACGTACAAAAATATTTATAGCAGCTCTTTTGTGGTGGCAAAGAGTTAGAAATTAAGGGAATGCCCATCAATTGAGGAATTACTGAATAAGATAGAGTATGTGATTGTGATGGAATACTATTGTCCTATAAGAAATGATGAGCAGGATGGTTTAAGAAAAATCTGGGAAGACATATATGAACTGATGCAAAGAGAAGGGAATAGAAGCAGGAGAACTTTGTACACAGTAACAACAATATTGTAATGTGATCAAATGTGAAAGGCTTAGCTACTCTGATCAATATAATGATACAAGAAAACTTCAAAGGACAACGATGAAAAATGTTATCCATCTCCAGAAAGAGATCTGGTGAACTCTAAGTACAGATTGAAGCACACTTTTTTCACTTTCTTTATGTTGCTTGCTTTTTATTGCTTTTTCTTTTTCGGTTCGTTATTTTGTTTTTTGGGGTTTTTTTTGCAAAATGGCTAATATGGAAATATGTTTTGCATGATTTTACATGTATAATGGATATCATATTGCTTTCTTTGTGGGTGGGGGAAGAGTAGGAGGGAGGGGGAGAATTTGGAAATCAACATTTTTTAAATGAATGTTAAAAATAAATCAATAAAATTTGTAAAATATAATATATGCCCCTTTGAGAACAGGGACTGTGTTGTTTTTATTTTTATTTTAACCTGAGCACTTAGCACAGTGCCTGGCACATAATAAATGTGTGATTGGTGTTTCTTGACTGACAGGCTGAGAATCTGTGAGAACACAGAGGAGCTCTCTCTGAGGAGCCTAGGTGACCAGACACATGATGAGAAACGCTATGCCTGGGACCAAACATCAGCTAGAACCAACACATTACACTGTCTGACCCAAGAGGCATATTCCTACAGCTCATAACACTCTAATGGTTCACAGATAAAACTTTTTACCAATCCTAGGAAGAAAGAGACCTTAGCACACAGAACTTCAGAGTTAGGAGAGCCCTTAGAACAGAGGATATCAGAGCTAGGGGGACAGAATGTCAGCAATGAAAGGAACTCTAGAACACAGAATTTCAGACCTGAAAGGGAACAGAAAATGTCCACTCTACAAGGGGCCTTAGAGATCATCTAGTACAATTCCCTTGTTTTATAGGGAAGAAAACAGAGGATCAAAGGAGATAATATTTGTAAAGCGCTTAGCACAATTACTGGCACACATTAGCTGCTGTTATTGTTACTACTGCTGCTACTGTTATCATTATTATGTCAAATATTTTGTACAGCGGGAAGTTCAATGGCACTGCAGAAGAGAGAAGCATCTAACCCAAGCTAACATAGTGAATTAGTGAAAGAGTTGGTTAGACTAAAAGACAAGTCTTATGACTCCAAGGCTAAAGCTCCCTTCACTGTATCATACAATTTCAGAGCACATGCAAAACCACAGTGCAGGACCTTCCAGTGCTGAAAGACCAGCCAACACCAAACTTCTCAAATCTAAACTAGTGTACCTCAAACTCCAAAGGCTCAGCAGCAGCACCTCCCACTTGCATCCAATCTGAAAGTCCTGACTCCTCACCGGCCCTTCACTCAAGGCTCCCCTGACATGCAATCACTCTGCTCTGATTAAACACAGAGATTAATGTAATACACCATAAATTCTACCCCCAATCCTCGTCCCGAAGCCACAAGTTTGAATCCTGCCTCAGAAACTTACTTCTCAGGGTTATCAAGAAGTTGGGAATGTGAGGAATATCACCTACCTCACGGGGTTATTGTGAGAACTAAATGAGATAACATGTATAAAGTGCTTTACAAACCTTCAAGTTCTATAGAAATGCTAACTATTATTATTATTACTATTATTGCCTATTCACGTGACAGGTGGCACCCATAGCTGATTACAGAGCCATAAATAAGGTAAGGCTATGGGGCAAAATTTAGAAGACATAAAAATTTAGCACATGCACTTATAGCAATAGAAACGATGAGTTTGTTAACCAGTTATTAACATGACTAATTCATTTTTTAAAAGAAGCGATCGGAGGATGCTGTTAATAACACTTATCCACAAGCCACTATAGTAAACAACTCCCCCTCTCCCTTAACTGAAATTTCTCTTAATTACTCCCTGTATTCTTTTCATATCATAAATTACAAAGTCAATTTGAGGGTACCTCTCCCATTGCTTGACCCAGATTTGCTGCTTGTTCCAGCACTGAAGTAGCTAATGACTACCCTGATTGACCAGATCAGTCAAGCCTTCACTTACCATAGTCCAGGGCTGCCTGGTTAATCCTGACCACAATCCTTGCTGAGTAGGCTTCACAGAATGGGACCAACATCCCAAGGAGGAATCCCAAGGTACAGACTAGAAACATGGCTGATCCTGGCAATGAGTTGAGGATTGAGGAACCTGGTGAGAACAGGATAGCTGGTACCTCATCAAAAGGGTTTGGGGGTTAAAATAGAGCTAGTTCTGTCAAAACTGATCCAATCCCTTCACTTCATCAATTCCCTCTTCTTCTTTCAGGAAATACGGTAAAAGGGAAAATTTAATCAAATTGAGAGTTGGGTACCTGAGTTTTAATCCCACATCTACCACTGATATGATGTGTGATCTTGGACATTTCCCTTTCCAGGCCTCCATTTCATCCTTTATTAAATAGATGTGACCACTCCTGCCTCACCCACCTCCAAGTATGGTTACAAACAGCCAATGGATGGAAAAGTGGGAAAAGTGCTTACTATTCAAGTCCTTGCTAGAACCACCCCAGAAGGACTTTACCTGCATTTTCAGATTTAACAGAGCTATAGAAAGAAAGAAAAGAAATGCTTTGGGGATGTTCCCAGAGAAACATACACCAATCATCCCAGCTTGGTCCCCACCCTGTACCCAATCACCTGTTCCAGTAGACACGCTTGGAGGCTGGGAGGCCAGTCCTATGCCCATAGCTACCTTAGCCCTACTGATTTTCAGGGAACATGCAGAGACCTTTTTCAAGGGACCTCGGAGAATCGGTGACTAATATCACAAAAGGACTAGTCTTATTGGATGAGTTTGTTTCCCAGATACTCTGTGACTCAGGTCCAGCTCTAGACTTCCTATGTAAGGACTCAAATCCAACAAAGAACCTGCCAAAGGTCTAGTTAACCCTTTGCATGCAAGGTTTAGTTGAAAGAACTGGGGATATTTTATCTGGAGTAGAGAAGACTTCCATGAAAGGTTGTTGTATAGACAAAGGGTAAACTCAATTTTCCTTAGAGAGATCCTTAGAGGAGCAAATTTTTGCTAACTCTTGACTCAATTCTTTTTTCCAGAATGCTTACATCATTAGACACCTTGGTGGCTAGTTTCCTGACTGGTGACTCCCCAGTGCCGACCACCATTTCTTGATGGATCAGAGTGATATTTCACTCCTGATTCAACTCACTCTCCTGACTTCTCCATCTCCCTGACAAGTGCCTTGCTCCACTGAGGTACCCTTCCCTCCTCCAACTTTTTAGTTCTCCTTTATACATCATCTTCCCCCACTGGGCAAAAACTATCTTATTTAATTGTATTTGTATCGCTGGGGCTTAGCACAGTGCCTCACATAGTAAGTACTTAATAAATGCTTTATGCTTACCTACCTCTAAATGTGGGCAGCTAGGTTGCACAGTGGATAGAGCACTGCACTTAGAATCAGGAAAACTTAGATTCATGAGTTCAAATTCAGCCTCAGACACTTGCTAGCTTTGTGATCCTGGGCAAGTCACTTAACCCAGTTTCCTCATCTGAAAAATTAACTGGAGAAGGAAATGGCAAACCACTCCAGTATCTTTGCCAAGAAAACTCCAAATTGGATCCAAATGGGATTATAAGAGTTAGATACAACTGAAAAGACTAAATAACAATACCTTTCAATAGAAGGAAAACCTTCCTAAGCCTTGGTTGTCCCAGAGTGGAAGAGGCTGCCTCAGGAGTTAGTATGTTCCCCATCATTGGAGTTCTTTAATCAAAAGTTGGTTGACCACCTGTCAATGAGGTTGTAGAGGAGATCCCTATACAGGTCTGGGTTGAACTAGAGGGAACTTCCAACTCTAAAATTTGATGGGGTCAGCACTTCTAGCTTTTCCTAGATCCTTTCCTTTCCCCAAGTTCAGTATCTCACCAGTTCTTCGGAACAGCCCCTTAGCTGGAGTACGGCAGGAATAATTAGTCCTCCTACGTGGAAAAAGAAGCTGAGGCCCAGAAAATACCTAAGGTCACGTACAGAATTAGTGAAAATGCTAGCATCTACATCTTGGAACCATCAAGCTGGTGTTACTTTTCATTATACTGGGGACCAAATCACCAGAGTACTTGGACAAATTTAATTACTTGCTAAAAGAGATAGGATCCTGTAGGACTCTAAGAATAAGCCTCCGAGATCATCACTAATCCTATGAAAAAAAATCAAATGTCAGCATCATAGGTTTTAAAGTTTAACGTTTAGAATGTTAGAGCCAAAAGGAGTTCGAAAATAATAGAGCACAGAACACCAGGGCTGGAAGGGATTTTCCAAAATAGGAGCTTAGAATATAGAATGTTAGAGATCAAAAAGACCATAGAAAAATAAATGTAAACATTGGAATGGACCTCAGAAACTAGAACAAGGAATGGCAGAACTGGAACAGAACTTAGCACTTAGAGGGGCAGAGCTGAAAAGGACCTTAAAGATGGGTTCTTAACATCTTAAAAAGGGGTTCTTAACATTTTTGTGCCATTGACCCACTTCTAACTCTGGCAGTCTGTTGAACTCTGTGTACCACTTTCTCAGAATAATGGGGTTTTTTTTAATAAAATACAAAAGAATACAAAGGAAATCAATTATACTGAAATAGTTATCCAAAAAAATTATTTTAATCAGTTCATAGATTCCAGTTTAAGAACACCTTATCTAGTCCAACACCCTTATTTTGTAGATAAGAGGAACAGGTCCAAATATGGTAACTGATTTGTCCAATGTCACACAGCTAGTAAACGGTAGTGTTAGCACAAGAACCCAGGTCTCCTGATGATACCTTTGCTTTGAACCCCATTGCCTCCTTATGATCCCTTCATTCCCCTCCCCCCAAAGAAATAGTTTTCCCACTCATACCTCAATCTGTTACCTGTAGAAGATGGATCATAAGTGGTTAGGCCTTGGGTCTTCCCTCTCCCTGGGCCAGAGACTGCTTTATAAGCCTCCCAAAGAGGATGACACTTTGGGAAAAGGGAACGGCAACCATGAGCACCTTGCGCCTAGGGAGGGGCCCATTTGCTTTTGATGGACACTGTTTTCTCTGCAAATAAGGACCTTTGCCAACTAGATTCACCCCTGATGAGGTGATAGGAATATGCCACGTTGCTGGGCATAGCTGCCAAGGAGCCCATCAGTGAGCTGACATCTTCATCTCCTCCCAAAGGTAGCCAGAGGTTACTCCCAGAAAGACAGGACTCCTCAAAATCATAGCAATCTATGATGAAGAAAATGTGACACACAAATTGCAAGGAAAAAGGAGGGACTGAACCATCTTCATATCCAAGTCAGAAGTTCCCACAAGGAGGGGTATGACTGAGATGATCTTCATCCCAGGGCTGCTGTAAAGAAAGCAATTTGTAGGGGCAGCTAGGTGGCACAGTGGATAGAGCTCTGGTCTTGGAGTCAGGAGGACCTGAGTTCAAATCCAGCCTCAGATACTTAACACTTTCTAGCTGTGCGACTCCCAGCAAGTCACTTAACCCTGATTGCCCCCTCCCCGAAAAAAAAGCAATTTGTAAGCCTTGAAGAGACTTAAGCTAGACCTGTAATTAATATGACCTCTCAAGGCCACCCAACAACATTCAGAAAGGCACAAACTAATTTTTTTTGTTTTGGTTTTTTGGGGGGTTTTGTTTATTTATTTTTAGCCTTCAGCATTCACTTCTATGAGATTTTGAGTTCCAAATTTTCTTCCCATCTCTCCCCTCTCTCCTCCCCAAGACGGTGTGCAATCTGAGATGGGTTCTACATATGCATTCATATTGAACCTATTTTCATGTTAGTCATGTTGTAAAGTATTAGAACCAATGGGAGAAACTACAAGAAAGAAGAAATAAACAAAAAAGAAAAAAAAAGAGAGATCAAATAATGTGCTTGGATCTGCCTTCAGACTCCATAGTTCTTTTTCTGGATGTGAACAGCATTTTCCATCATTTGCCCTTTGGAGTTGTCTTAGATCTTCGCATTGCTGAGAGGCGATGAGTCTGTCAAAGTCAGTCATCATACAATGTGGCTGTTACTGTGTACAACATTCTCCTGGTTCTGCTCACTTCACTCAGCATCAGTCCATACAAGTCTTTCCAGGTTTTTCTGAAATCTGCTTGCTCATCATTTCTTATAGCACAATAGTATTCCATTGTATTCATATACCACATCTTGTTCAGTCATTCTCCAACTGATGGGCATCCCCTCAGTTTCCAACTATTTGCCACCACAAAAAGAGCTGCTATAAATATTTTGGTACATGTGGGTCCTTTTCCCATTTGTATGATCTTTTTGGGATACAGACCTAGAAGTTGTATTGCTGGATCAAAGAGTATGCACATTTTTGTAGCTCTTTGGGCATAGTTCCAAATTGCTCTCCAAAATGGTTGAATCATTTCACAACTCTGCCAACAATACATTAGTGTTCCAATTTTCCCACATCTTCCCCAGCATTTATTATTTTCCTGTTTTGTCATGTTAGCCAACTTGATAGGTATGACATGGTATCTCAAAGTTGTTTTGATTTGCATTTCTCTAATCAATAGTGATTTAGAGAATCTTTTCATATGAGTATAGATAGTTTTACTTTCTTCATCTGAAAACTACCTGTTCATATCCTTTGACCATTTATCAACTGGGGAATCTTACAAATTTGGCTCAGTTTTCTATATATTTTAGAAATTAGACCCAGAAAGGTACCGACTATTAAGGGCAAAAATCAACAATGATGTAGTGGAAATCAATTGACAAGCATATATTAAACACTTACTGTATATCAAGGAAAGACAATTAGATTTGAAGTCGGTTCAAATTCTGGCTCTGCTACTGATTACCTAATTGATCTTGGGTAAGTGACTTCCCCTTCCTAGCCTTCAACTTTGCTCAGTATAAAAATATGTAAGTTGGACTAGATTTTTCTCTAAAGGCCCTTCTGACTTGAAATCCTATGACCCCATGATCAACTTTCAGCAAGATGCAATGGCAGCTTTGAGACTGGTCTATCCCTTCCTAAGAATGTTTGGTTCCACAGCCACGGCTTGCTGTAGCTCCACCCTGAGAGCTGACATCAGGACCAGAGAATGCTGGTCCAAGACTGAACCCTTCCCTGACCCCAGCAGAGCTCCAACTTCAGCTTCACACTAAGCCATAATTCTAGTTGCCGGCTCTCTTTCTGGGAATTCTCTGTCTGCCACTGGCAGAAGATGAAGATGTCAACTCTAGATGGCTGAGACATGAGCTATAGCTCCTAAGGGATCCAAAAAAGAAAATGGGGTTGGGTCAGTACTCAGGGACCCAGGACTACACAAAATACAAGTCATCATGATAAAGGATTGAAAGCTCCATCTTCCTGTATTAATAGCTTAACTGCCTCTGGGCCCAGCTGTCTCTGCCATAGGAGATGCCATCCTGCTTTCTGACTTGGTGGAAAGGACTCTGGAATAGGAGAGAGAAAATAACAGCTCAAATATTTAGTACTCAGTCACTAGCTGAGGCCAAGTTACTTCTTCCCTCTGTTTCCTCCTCTGTAAAATGGAGATGATAACTCTTTCTCTACCTAACTTTAAGGGCTGGTATGAGAATCCAAGGACAGAATGGATGAGAAAGCAAGTCCATTTGTAGCACAATATATATATATACATATATACATATATATGTATGTATACATATATACATACATGAGCTATTGTACAGTCATTTCAGTCATGTCCAACTCTCCATGACTCCATTTGGGGTTTTCTTGGCAAAAATACTAGAGTGGTTTGCTACCTTATTTTACAAATAAGGAAACTGAGGCAAATAGGGTTTAAGTGACTTGCCCAGGGTCACACAGCTAGTAAGTGTCTGAGGCTAGATTTGAACTCATGACTTCAGGCTGGGTGCTCTATCCACTGCACCACTTTAGCCATCTATAGTTACAAATACCTTTCGTAATTATATACATACATAGGATCATCAGAATGAGACTAGAAAGCAACTTAGAGCTCCTCTGTTCCAACACTTCTTTTTTTGCAAAAGAAGAAACTAAGGCACAGAGAAGGGACAGGACTTTCCCAAGGTCACAAGTGGCAAAACTGGCATCAAACCCAGGTCCCCAGACTCCAAATCCAGGGGTCTGTCCACAACGACGTGTTGCTTATCTCTCCATCTAGATGATGAGCTTCTTAGAGCAGGAACATCATCCCTCTTCCTCATAGTAAAAACTGGATATAGGGTTAGGCAAAACTAGGACACTATATATATAAATATATATATATGTATTTACATACATATATATGTGTGTGTGTGTGTGTGTGTGTGTTTGCATGTGTGTGTGTGTGTGTGTGTTTGCGTGTGTGTGTGTGTGTGTGTGTGTAATCTTAATTCAGAGCTGGAAAGGACCTTAGCAACATCTACTCCAAGGGTTGGCAAACTATAGCCTGAGGGCCAAATCCAGCCCACCACCTGTTCTTTTGTATAGCCTATGAGCTACAGTGGTACCATTCTTAGCTCACGTACCACTCGGTTACCATCTTATTCCTGCTAATGCTTTCATGGTCTTTTAGGGGCTTCCAATCATTTCAGAGTTTCATATGGCATCTTGGTTGGAGTGTTTTCTCTTTAACTTTGGAAAATAATCCCCTTGGAGGCGATGGAGGCAGTGGTGGTGGTGGTGGTGGTAGGAAGATCTCAGTGATAAAAGTCCAAGAGACTGGGTCTGTCATTGGCTTGCTGTGGAACCCTTCCTATCTCTGGTCTCAGTTCCCTCTTCTAGAAAATTGGGGGTTAGACCCAATAATCCCAAAAGTCCCTTCTAGCTCTACTGTTCTATGAGTCTGTGAAAATGAGAGGAAGAGCCAGTGAGATGTAAATGGCTTCTGCGTGCCACTTCTCTACCCAGCCCTGTTTTGGGCACAGTGGTCACACAGAAGAAGGAGACAGGAAGTACTTACTAGCTTGCAGGCACTGTGCAAGTCCCCTAACCTCATTATGCCTCCTGCCCATCAGGAATCATCACGTATGGTTGGAAAGACAAGACTCATGCACAAAAAAACAATACAACAATAACAATACAAGAAAGTCTGTAATAGAACGATGGGTGAGGAGAACAATATGGTCTCTGAGGGGAATAATACCTTGATGAGGAAGCTTCCTCACACCCATTATCCCACAGCCTACAGGGAAGAGGCATCACAGCAACATTTAACCCCCTTTTAAAGATGAGGAAAGCAAGGTCCATAGAGGTCAAGTGACGTATCCAACATTGCACAGTAAGTTAGTTGTGATGCAGAATGATGAAACAGAAAAAAGCGATAGACTAGAAGAAGCCCAGCCAGCTGGGCTTCTGCCAACTCATTGTATGACTTTGAACAAGTCATTTCCCTTCACTGTGCTTCAGTTCCCTCCTCTGTAAAATGGCTTCTGAGTTGGCTTCTGGATGTAAAGTTCTATGAGTTTCACCAAGAAGAGAACCCGGAGTAGCATAATAGAAAGAACACTGGACTTGGGAGTTAGAAGATGTAGGCTCAGGGCAGCTAGGTGGCACAATGGCTAGAGCTCTGACCTTGGAGTTAGGAGGACCTGAGTTCAAATCCGACCTCAGACACTTGACACTTACTAGCTGTGTGACTCTAGGCAAGTCTCTTAACCCCGACTGCCTCACCAAAAAAGAAGAAGAAGAAGATGATGATGTAGGCTCAACCCTATCTCTGTCACTTACTAGGTATATCACCCTCAATTTCCTCATCCCTAAAATGAAGAGAATGGACTAGATGGTCTGCCTTTCCACTTAAATCTATGATTCTATGACTTGCATCCCCAGCTCTTTCCAGCCTACCATGTAGTCAAAGAAGGGAATGATCAGCATGAGCAAAGGGCCTAAAAACAGGTAGGAGTCTGGTGTGAGGGAGCTCTTCAGAGTCTGGAAACAATCCCTTTCTACGGATACATCCTCCTTCAGAGCAAACACGTACAGGATTTCCATCTCCCAAAATGCTACTGCTTTAACGTCCTTTGTCTCAGTTTACCAGTCCATGAAATGGGTGTAACGTGTAACTGCAGAGTAACTTTCTCATCACTGAGATACAAATCAAGCTCATTGGAAGGAGATGCAAATATTTACTGAAATGAAGTCATATTCACTATTGACTCTAGGGAAGGAAGATTTTCTCTTTCTTAGCGTTTTCACCACGGAAGAGACCTCACGGCTCACTGGAAATCCATTTCGATGGCAACCGGCAATCTGGGCATTCGAATGGCATCAGGAGCAGTGTGGTGCAGTGGAAAGGGCACTGCCTCTGGAGTAAGAGGACCTGGGTTCGAATTCCACTTCTAATGCTAACTACTTGTGTGACCTTGGGCAAGTCACCAACTCCTTGGACCTCAATCGCTTCCTCTATAAAGTGAGGTGGTTGGATAAATTGGCCTCTGAGGTCCCTTCCAGCTGCAGCTCCAGGATGCTGTGACGGGGCAGCATTCTGACTCTCCTGCTCAAACATTCAGATGTCACTACAACCCAAGGCCAACAACAACCAACACCTTTCCATTTATTTAGTCAATCAGTAAACATTTACAAAGCATTTGCTACTGTACACAAGAAATTCAGGGAGAGAGACATACCTTAATCCCGTGCGATCACAGAAGGCTCAGAGCTACAGAGAATTTTACAGGTTATCTAATCCAACCCTTTCATTTTACAGATGGAGAAACTGAGGCCCAGAAAAAGTGACCTCAAAGGGTTAAATAAATGTGATGTAGCAGTAGCAGTAGGGAAAGGGTAAGGGACTAAACATTTATATAGTACCTACTATGTGCTAAGCACTAATAAGCATTGATGGAGTGCTTGGATCCCAATTTCTCCCTGGCCTCAGAAACACTATCCTTGGTAGTTTCCCTACAGCCCAAGGACCCTATCTCTGACAATGACTCACGAGTGGGCCCAGTGAGGCAAACTATCTCTCCCTGTTGCAAGAACAAGCTGACCCTGTAGAATTTCCCTTGTATGAACAGGACTGTCTTGTACCAGCAGAACTACCAAGCCCTGATGTCCACAGTTAACTGTATATAATCCAGAGGTCAAGTTAATAGACGTCAACTCCCAAAACTATCTCGTTTCAGACATAACAGACTAAAAACACACCCTTTGGGAAACCCCCGCCACAGGTTTTCAATAGTGAATGATATAGTTTTATGTTATCAGCTAACTAGCATACTTGACACATAATCCACTACTTTTCCTACATAAACTTCAGCATCATTCTTGTTAGGTTGCCAGGTCCCTAAGGAGCTCTGCCCACCATGGTAGAATTCCTTAAGGATCTCTACCCGATGTATAGCGTAACAATAAATCTTTGCCACATTGACTTAAAGAATGCTTGAGTCTGTGAATTCATTCCAAATGACCCCATCCTATACTCTGGTCTTTGAGGGCTCTTAAACTCTCAGACCTCAACAGCCCTTTATACATATTATCTCATTTAACCCTCACAACAACCCTGTAAGGTAAGTGCTGTTATTATCCCCATTTTACAATGGGGGAAACTGAGACAGACAAAGTTTAAATGACTTGCCCAAGGTCACACAGCTAGTAAGTGTCTGAGGCCAGATTCATCTCAAGTCTTCCTGAGTCAAGGTCCAGAGCTGTATCTGCTATGCAGTAGAGGTGGTAAAATTTCCCAAGTCAAGACAAGTAGGAAATACCGTAGCTGAGATTCAAACCCAAGTCTTTAAACCTCCAATCCAGTGCTGTTCCCATTGCCTGGAGGAGGTGGCACCCAAGCTGGACTTTGATTCACAAGTAGAGGGCCTTTCAGATGAGGACAAAGGGCTTTTCATTACGAGCAATGGGTCTTTATTTTCAGTGATGATCAAGGAGGGGTTCAGTACATGTGGGACCAGTGGTAGAGTTCAGGAAAGAGTGGAACCTTTGGCCATGAGGGAGCATTTTGATGTAGTCACCCAGAAAAGCACTTTCTGTCCCCTGTAGACAATGATAGAATTGAGCAATTGTATGTATTATAAATTCATTAAGACAAAGCTCGTGGAACTAGAATGAATCCCAGGAAAGATCCAGCTCCACACCTTCAGGGGATATGTTATACCTAGTTTATAGATGAGCACAATGAAGTCCAGTGATGTGATTATTTTCCCAAGTTAATAAAATAGAGTGGAGCTGAGACTAGAACGCACAGCTCTTGTTCCTCAAACCACCCTGTAATGTAGGGGATTATCTGGGTCAATAAAGAGCACTAGCTAGCAGTTAGAAGACCTTGATTTCAGTGACATATCTACTATTCATCCCACTTTGGATACTTCTCTGAGCCTCAGTTTCTCCATCCATAAAATGGGAACAATAGTCACTACCCACCCCTACTTCAGAGGGCTTTTGTGAAGATCAGGAGATAATAGATTTGCAGGTATTTTGTGATTATAATAGCAAGAGGTAGGGTGGTATAGTGCATAGAAAGCTCCTGAGTCAAGAGGACATCCACTGAAATCCTGCCTCTATATGAAATCATACCAGCTGTGTGACCCTAGGCAAGTTGTTTAACCACACAGCGGCCCTAAGCAACTTTCTAAGGCTGTAAGTTGAATGGCATTTATAGACCTACATTGCTAGAGGGCATTTTCTTCACGGGGAGTTCTCTGCAGCAAGGAAATCACAGGTCTGATTTTTTTAACCCTCACTGCATGTTATTATCATCCCGGTCACCATCAAGATAAATTGTCCAAGAAGCAGTCTGGATCCTATGGGACCACCAAAGGATGAACAGGAAACCAAAACCTCAGTGAGATAACCCAATGGTCCAGGGTCAGAACAGAAACAAAAATGATAGTGTGGAGTTGTTAAAATTGGTTTGGGCTCGATCTGCTTCAGGGTCAACAGATCTCAGGGAATGAATTCATCTCAGTCAGAAAGAACCTAAGGCCGATTAGTACGTAAGAATTCCCTCTAAAACCACCTCTAAATGCCATCCAACCTTTGACTGAAGAGCTCTCCTGAAGAGGACTCTGCTAAGGCAGCCCATTCCAAATTTGAACAACACCAACACTTAGGATTTTTTTCCATACACAAAGTCAAAATCTGCCTCTCTTCCACTTCTACCCACTTCTCTTGGTTCTCTCTGGAGCCGAGAAGAACCAGTCTAATCTCACACAATAGCCTTCTAAATACTTGACGACAGCTGCCATGTTCTCCCCCCAAGTCTTCTCTTTTCCAAGCTAAATACCACCAGTTCCTTTAACCAGTCCCCACATGACATGACCTCAATGCACGTAATCATCCTGGTAGTCTTCCTTTGGATGTCTCCCAAATGTCCTTCCTAAAATCAAATGCCCCCAAAAATTCAGCCCCATTGATCAGAGTCAAGGTTGCTGATATTGAGCCAAGGAAATCTGGAGGTCGGGTGGTCTAAGTCAGTCAGGGTCACCAGGAATCCAGAACAGATGAAGTAATTGGAGACCCTACAAGAAATATCGAAGTCAAAAAGTTTTGTAAGCCTTGTCATTCCAGTGGCCCGTGACCCCAGCTGTTGCCTGAAGATTCAGTTTTACAGAGGGAAAATGAGGCCCAGAGAGGAAAGTGACTCCTCCAAGGTCACAAAGCTATTAAGTGGGATATTGAGGACTTGCACTCAGGTCATCCACTTTTCCCACTGAATTGTCCTGCCAATCTGTGCCAATCATTGAGTTTTATGCACAGAAATGCCCTAGACTCTTGTTCTGTTCTCTCTCTTTTTAACACAATGTGTGTTATTGGGCAAATCAATTCTCTCTGGGCTTCATTGTTTCCCACTATAAAAACAGAGGAAGGTGGACCAGATGGCATTTAAAGTCACCATCTGACATTCTATAATTCTATATTGAGTGGTTACACTATACACTCCAGCAGAGGAAAACGAATTGGATGTCAGGTCTAGGGTTCTGATGCTGTGAATGGGGTTGCAACGTGTCTGTGCTGTATTCTGAGCCTGCCTCTGTCTGTGAAGTCACTCACCCATCTGTGAGGTCACACCAAGTGAAGGTAGCTTCTGTGAACCTCCCTCCCTACCCTTGATAGGACATCTCTATGGTGTCGCAAAGCAGGAGTTTGCTCCATATCGAGTTCATTTCTTCCCAATCTAGTGTAGTAATAGCCCATTCCCTGAACAATCCCTCCCGTGGAATCTGAGGGGGCAAACATGCCTCGGAATCAAAGGGGACGTTCAATCAACTGTTCCAACAATCCAGAGAATGAGAGTGACGGAGAGCCCACCCCAACTTCATTGACCAGATCCAGCAGGTAGAGACAATCTTGGAGTTATAGCAAGGTACCTGGAGTAGAGCAAGGAGACTCCCAAGGAAGATTGGGGCCCGGTTCTGGGCCTGGTTGGGAGAGACCCAATCCCATGTGCCCTTTTTGAGCAGGAAGAAGTAAAGGTCTATGTGCCTCAAACTCTCTGGCCCAGACCCCTGGGAAGGCAGACCACTAAGATCAGATCCTCAAAGGTCTCTAGTATGACCTCCTGTGGAGGGGCTTGTCAGCTCAAAGGAAGGTCCCCTGCCCAGGCTCTACTTTTAGAAGGCCCTTTCAAAGTTTTGTAGCAACCTACATTCATTTATTCATTCATTCATGCACACATGCATGAATACAACAGCTATTTATGAAGTTCCAGGAATCATGGAAGGTGTAGGAGATACAAGGCCAAAGACAAAATATGGCCTTGAAGGAGTTATATTCTAGTGGGGACAAATAATATGAGCATAGACAAGTATAGAAAATACATACAGATGCTATCCACATCCAGAGAAAGAACTGCTAAATAGATGCATGTATAGTATGGTTTTACATGTATACATATGTGTGTATACATATATATGCATATTTGTGTCTAAAGGCATCCTTCTCTAGTGCAGGGTAGGGAGGGAGAGAGAAAAAAAATTTAAGTACACAGCAGAAAACAAAAGAAGACTTAGAAGGAAGCACAGAAAAACAGGGTAGTTTTTTTTCCACTTAACAATTTTTTTTTTCAAATCACATGTAAAGATAGTTTTCAACATTCATTTTTGTAAGATTTTGAGTTCCCTCTCTCCCATTCCTCCTCCCCAAGACAGCAAGCAATCTGATATAGGTTATACATGTACAATCATGTTAAACGTATTTTCACATTGATCATGTTGTGAAAGAAGAATCAGAACAAAAGGGGGAAAAGCATGAGAAAGAAAAAACAAAAAAGGCAAAAATAGTAATAGCAGGGTACTTTTGAAAACAATGTGTAATATTTATTACATAGTTTTTCAAAAAAAGTAAACGATATGAAATGGAAATTCATGGTTTTATGCTGAATCTTCTTTTTATGTTGTGCTGTGTACATGGACATGTTCTTTTTTTGTCTTTTTGTATTGAAGTTCAAAATGAATAAAAAAATTTTAAAAAGAAAATACATTGAAAGTAATTTCATGAGATCGGGGAAGCTGGCAGCAGCTAAGGACATCAGGATAAGCCTTGAGAAGGAGGTGGCATTTGAGCTAAACCTTGAAGGAAGGTAGGGAGAGATGTTGTGGAGGTATAATTGACAGGCCTTGAATGGCCAAGGGTGAGGTGTAGAGGGATGGAAAGTAAAGAATCAAGAAGGATTCTGAGGCTTAAACATGGGTGAGTGGAAGGATAGTGGTACCTTCAAAAGAAATAGGGGAACTAGGAAGGGGGAAGAGGTTAGGTTTAGGAGAAAAAATATAAAGGTTACCTAAGGTTTTAGTAATTGTATGTCTCAAAATTTTGACAGTACCAATTTCAAATAATCTGTCCCGGGGCAGTTAGGTGGCGCAGTGGATAGAGCAGCACTGGCCCTGAAGTCAGGAGGACCTGAGTTCAAATCTGGCCTCAGACCAAACACTTGACACGTACTAGCTGTGTGACCTTGGGCAAGTCACTTAACCCCAATTGCCTAACTGAAAAAACAAAAACAAAAACAAAAAAAAATCTGTCCCCTTAAATTCAACATTTCAGCAAAGAGTCATTGAATGAATCAAAGCAAGAAATGTTACAATGAAAATATATGAACATGATTACACATACATAACCTTTATCAAATTGTTTACTGTTTTTGGGAGGGGGAAATGAGGGAGGAAGGAAGAAAATTTGGAACTCAAAAAAATTTTTAAGTGAATGTTAAAAATTGTCTTTATATGTAATTGGAAAAAATAAAATACTATTAATTTTTTAATTTAAAAAGAAATTAAATTTATTTATTATATATTATAGATAATACATTATTATATATTATAGATAATATATTGTTATATATTATAGATAATATATTGTTATATGTTGTAGATAATATATTATTATACATTGTAGATAATATATTATTATTATAAAGAAATGTAATTTAATTTAAAAAAAGAAAACATATGTACATTCTCTCCAATAGTTACAAGCTAGGGACATATAGCAACCACCTAGGAAATCATGCATGTATGCATACACAGACACACAAGCACACAAACATACTCATACATGTGTCATTTCTTGTGTGTCTGGCATGTCAAGTGTACCCTACCCAGGGTTGCCACTGACTGGCCATGACTATTTCTAGTCACCAATGCCAGTAGCACAGCTAATTTGGAGGGCAGGAACATGCAGAGAGGAATCAGAAAGCTGGAATTCAAATTTCACCTCTACCAAAATTCTCAAACATAGTGGTGGTACATTTGTGGGTGACAGCAAGCTCAAAGGCAGAATCCAGATCCAAGCTGTTGCCAATGTCTGTCCAATTCACCTCTGCGACATCTCTTGAGTAAGCCCTCTTCTCTCTGACACTGCCACCACTCTAGCAGGCCTCCATCACCTCATGCCTGGATTACTGCAATAGCTGCTGGTGGGTCTGCCTGCCTCAAGTCTCTCCCCACTCCAATCCATCCTCCATTCAGCCACTAAAATGCTTTCCCTTAAATGCAAGTGTGATCATGTCACACACACACACACACACACACACACACACACACACACACACTCAGTAAACCCCTGTGGCTCCCTATTGCCTCCAGGAGTAAATACAAAATGCTTTGTTTGACATTCAAAGCCCTTCATAACCTAGCTCCCTGCTACCTTTCCAGGCTTCTTAAACGTTATTCCCTGACAAGTACTTTTTAATCCAGAGACACCAGCCTCCAGTGTTAAACAAAACACTCCATTTCTCAGCTCTGGGCATTCTCTCTGACTCTCCCTCCTCTGTGCTGAGTACTGACCTCCCTGGCTCCCTTTAAGTCCCACCTAAAAGCCCATTTCCTACAGGAAGTCTTCCCTAATCCTTCTTAATTCCAGTGCTTTCCCTCTTTTAATTATTTCCTATTTATCCTGTAGATAGCTTACTTTGTATATATTTGTTTGCAGGTTGTCTCTCCCATTAGATTATAAGCTCTTTGTGGGTAGGAAATGTCTTTTGCCTTTTTGCATCCCCAGTGCTTAGCACAGTGCCTGGTACATAGTAGGTGCTTAATAAATGTTTATTGAATTATGATTGTGTGAGGGACAGTCTGTGCAAAGACTGGGATGGGATGGAGGAGTATCTCATGAAAAGTGAGTAGGTTGAGTTAACCGCATCATCAGGGTATTTGAGGGAGAGTGATTTTCCTAAACCACAGGTCCAATCAGGTCACTCCATTACTCAGTAAATTCCAGTGACTCCCTATCACCTCTAAGATCAAATACAAAATCCTCTGTTTGGTGTTCAAAGGCTTTCATAACCTAGCCCCTCTCCTTCTTTTGCAGTCTTCCTATACTCTACTGCTCTCCCCAGCTACTCTCCCAGGCAGTGAAAACTGTCCTCTTTGCTGTTCCACAAATAAGACACTATCTCCTACCTCGGGCAATTTCCCTGGCTGTCCTGCCTACCTGGAATGTTCTTCCTCATCTCCACCTGGCTTCTCTGGCTTGCTTCAAGCCTCAGCAAAAATCTCACTATCTACAGGAAGCCTTTCTCAATTCTTAATTCTAGTAACTTCTCTCTCTTAACTATTCCTATTTATCCTGTATTTATAGCTTGTTTGTCCATATTTGTTTTCCTGTTGTCTCTCTCCCCCCCATTAGATTGTAAGCTTCTTGAGGGCAGGGACTGTCTTTTGCTTCTTTTTATAGCCTCAGAACTTAGCACAGTGCCTGACATATGGTAGGCACTTAGTAAATGCTTATTGACTGCCTGACTATGTGAATCTCCCTCCCTAGGCCATCTCGACAGGGAACTCTCACGGTATCTGATGAAGGAAGCGTAAATGAGAATCCTGAAAATTTGTGTTTGGTCACCCGGACCCTTGAGGGGAGCACCAGTAAGTAGGGGGTTGGAGGAGCTGGACTTGGGGGGGGGGAAGGAGGAGGAAAGAATTGGATTCTATAGGACTGTGTTGTAAAACTGTTGCTGTTGTTTGGTGGTGGTGGTGGTGGTGGTGGTAGTGATGGTAGTGGTGGTTCTTTGTTCTCAAAGAGGACCACTAGCTCAGGTTGTCTTTGGTGCACTTTTTCAGCCTCCCTTTCTGTGACCTTTTCCTTCCTCCCAATATTCTGATAAACCCACCAAAGCACTCTGTTACCATACTATCTCTTCCTCTCCCTCCCAAGCAAGGTACTGAGAAACTCCCTAACTGATAACAAAATCACATTTACATAAGTTTTGTAATTACCAGGAGCCTTTTACTTTAAACCTCAGAAAAACCCTACAGTGGAGGCAGGGCAAGTATTATTTCCCTCATTTATAGAAGAGGAAACTGAGGCTCAAGGAAGATGAGTTGCTGGGGTAACAGGCTAGTAAGTGGTAGAGGCAGGATTAAAATCCAGGTCTTATGACTGTGCCTCAAAAACTCTTTACCCCAGATCTGAAGGGGGGAGGGGCAGAGAAGCATGTTTGCATTTTAAGCAGTAGTAAAATCTCAAAGTAAAGGAATGAAAGCGATCCAATGGTGGGATTTCAGGTGTGCATCAGTGAACAGGAGGTGAGTTTTTTCGACAAAGGACTTTCTTGTCACCTGGGAAACTGAATCAATAGACAGCTACCGCCTCTACCTCTGCATAGCCCCCATTCTCTGTCCTTTTGAGGCAGCTGAGTGCCATCGTGGATGGAATGCTGGACTTGGGATCAGGAAGATCTCAGTTCCAAGACTACCTCAGATGCTTTATAGCTGTGTTACTCTGGGAAACTCATTTAGCCTCTCTCAGCCTCAGTTTTCTCATCTATAAAATAGGTTTGATAATAGTACCTATTTCATGTTATCTCATTTTGGAAATGAGATAACATGCAAAGTGCTTTTCAAATCTCAAAATGCTATGTAAATGTCAGCTATTATTATTATCTATATTTGGAAAATGCATGTGTGTTTCTATCTATGTTGAACCGTGAATCTATGGGCATGCATGTATGTGAATATATGTGGACATTTATGTGTCTGTACCTATGTATCTCTTTTGAAATCTGTGGTTGGGTGCGTCTGTGTGTGGGTTTGTGTATCTGTGTATCTGCACTATCTATCTTAACCTCCCTATTGGACAAACTCAGCCAGGACAGCCTGGAACTACCTTGGAACATTTGGAGTTTGTGGAAAACCATATGCCCCGGCACAAAAAGTTAGAATCTAGTAGCCTCTTAAGGGCTCTATCTTCCAGAACCATCCAGTCCTCTGCCTGTTCAAGGAATCATGAGGATGGTGGCAGCTTATCTTTGTGACTCCAGGGAAGGCAGATCTTCCTTAGCTATCTTCAAATCATTCAACCTTTGCTGCCAGAGTTGACCACATTGAAACTTGCATACACACATCTAACTCCCATGACTCTCTTCTCAGTCCCCTCCCTGAGATAAGATAGACAAAACTTTAGGTAATAAGTTACAGGTCCCTCAAAGACGAAAGATAAGGGTATTTGGCCAAATGGGTGTTACAATAAAACAATGGATTTGGTGGGGTTGGGGTTTGTGTGTTTTGGTTCGATAGAGAAATGGATAGATAGATAGACAGACAGAGAGACACAGATAGAGACAGACAGAGAGACGCAGATAGAGACAGACAGAGAGACGCAGATAGAGACAGATAGATAGATAGATAGATAGATAGATAGATAGATAGATAGATAGATAGATAGATAGATAGACAGATGTAGATAAAAATGTATTTGTAGCACAGCTAGGTGGCACAGTGGATAGAGCACCATCCCTGGCACTAGGAGGACCTGAGTTCAAATCCAGCCTCAGACACATAACAGGCACTAGCTATGTGACTGAGCAAGTCACTTAACCCCAATTGCTTCATCCCAAAAATAAATAAATAAAAATAAATTTTTAAAAAATTTATTTGTGCCAGTGACTGTGCTAAGCCTTGAAGAGGCAAATTGAAGCAAGCAAGACAATCTCTGTCCTCAGGGAGCTCACATCTTTCCTGAAGCCTTTCTATAGTGCCATAGTAAGCAATAAATGTTTGGTGATTGTTGATTGACTTTCATATCACACACAAAGAGGAACTGGAAGTTGGAGAGAATTACACAGCAGCATGGTTAGCCAGGAAGTGAGGTAGAGGCCTGGCTCTGGATAAGATCAGGCAAAGACTCAGCTAGCTCCTGGAACCCAGATGTTTCCAGGAGTAGAGTCCAAGGTTCCAGTGGGAAAGAGGTAAGAGTGATGGCAGCAGTGGTTCCAACTTGGTGAATAATGATGTAGCTCTGGGGGTCTTCTCAACTCCCACTTTCATTGATGAGGGAGTTGGGTCCTCCCTAGGGCAAGACTGGTTAGCTCCATCTTCTCCTCTGGATTCCCAGAGGTTCTCCTTAGGGATAGTGGAAGGCTTCTCTATAATGATTAATAATGGATTTGAAGTCAGAAGACCTGAGTTCAAAACCTAGGTCTTCTACTTATAACCTGCATGACTTTGGACAAGTCACTTTTTCTGGCTAGACTTCAGTTTTTTCCTCTGTAAAATAAGATAGTTAAATTAGATGATTTCTGAGTGTCCTTCCAGCTCCAAATTCTGTTATCTCTCTGTCCCTGAGTTTCTTCCTTTATTAAAAAAGAGAGGAAGGATATACTAGATGAATGATCTCTAAAGAATCTCACAATTCTCAAAGTCTGTGAGTTGAGTCATAGAACTGGGATAAGACTCCTTTGGGTATTTCTCTGACTTAATTAAGGTCATTGTTTGTGTCTTCAAACAGGTGAAGAAAATACAACCCGAACAGTCATCTCTTCCTTTTGCAGAAGTTTGCCAAGCTGGCTGAGTACGTACGTATATAGGAAAGATGAAATCTTTGCCATCTGCTTGGCATGGCCTGATGCTAAGGGCCCAAAGCATCATGGGAATTTGACTTGTACCCACTAGTAGCTTGTCCCAGTGGCAAGGCCCCTTGGAAGGACTTTGTTAGTGCTCTTGTCATCCCCACCAGGGAACTCCAGGATACTAGTGAAGGGTATCTCTGCTCTAAGAGTGCCCATAACTCTACCCTGTCCTTGGCCAATTTTCTTCCCCAAAAAAGGTAACACACAATGTACCCCAGTCCCCACCTCCCACTAAAAACACACCTCAAAGCATCTGATTTGAGTGGGCTTGAATATCATCTCCATATATAGCGTGGCACTCTATCATAGTCATTAATAGAAGTTATTACTAATGGTGATCCATTACTAGTCACTGTTTATGATTAATGACAAATAATCATCCAGTAACCATTACATAATATTATTAACTAGTAATTCTTAACAATAACAAATGCTCATAACTGGACTCCAAGTCTAGCACTCTTTCTGACAAATGGATGGAAAATTATGAAAAGAAACAAGATGATGCTGTAGAAAGACCACTGGACATGGAGTCAGGAGAGATTTGAATTTGAATTCTGCTTCTGATTTTTTGGGCTATGTGACCCTAGGCAAGTCTTATATCAATTCTGCCTCTTGTGGCTAAACTCCTTGAAAAAGCTTCTTACAGTAGGTACCTCCACTTCATCCCTTCTTATCTGTTCTTAACTCTATAACCTGTCTTCTGACCTCATCATTTGATTGAAACTGTCCTCTCTACCATTACCGATGATTTCTTAATTGACAAATCCAATGGCCTTTTCTCAATCCTTGTCCTTCTTGATCTCTCTGCAGCCTTTGACAGTGTTGATCATCCTCTTTTCCTTGATATTCTCTTCTCTCTAGGATTTCAGGACATTAATCTCTTCTGATTTTCCTCCTATTTGACTGCTCTTTCTCAGTGACCTTGGTTGGATCTTCATTGAGGTCATACTTGTAGACTTGTCCCACAGGGCTCTGGCCTGGACCCTCTTCCTTTTTCCCTCCATACTGCTTCACTTGCGATCTCATCAGCTCCCATAGATCAATTATCATCTCTATGATGATGATTCTCTTTTTTTATTATATAATATTTTATTTTTCCCCAATTATATATTAAAACAATTTTTAAACTTTTTTATAGTTTTGAGTTCCAAATTCTATCCTTCCCTCCCCTACCCCCTTCCTGAGATGGTAAGCAATCTGACATAGTTTATACATGTGTAATCATGTAAAATATTTCCATTTTAGTCATTTTATACAAGAAGATTTGAATGAAAGAAAGAAAATGAAAAATAGCATGCTTCAGTCTGTGTTATGAGAGTATCAGTTCTTTCTCAGGAGGCAGATAGCATGCTTCACCATTAATCCTTTGGGATTGTCTTGAATAATTGTATTGCTAAGAATAACTAAGTCATTCATAGTTCATTGTACAATATTGTTGTTACTGTGTACAATGTTCTCCTGGTTCTGCTCACTTCACTTAGCATCAGTTCATGTAAGTCCTTCCAGATTTTCTGAAATCATCCTGCTTGTCATTTCTTATAGGACAATCATATTCCATCACAATCATATACTAGAGCTTATTTCCCAATTGATGTGCATCTTCTCGATTTCTAATTCTTAGCCACCACAAAAAGAGCTTCTATAAATATTTTTGTACAAATAGATCCTTTTCCCTTTTTTGGGACGACTTTGGGATATAGACCTAGCAGTAGTATTGCTGGATCAAAGGGTATGCACAGTTTTATAGCCCTTTGAACATAGTTCCAAATTACTCTCCAGAATGATTGGATCAGTTCACAACTCCACCAACAGTGCATTACTATCCCAGTTTTCACATATCCCCTCCAATATTTATCATTTTCTTTTTTTTTCATACTAGTCAACCTGATAGATGTAAGGTGGTACCTCAAAGTTGTTTTGATATGTATTTTTCTAATCAATAGTGATTTAGAGTATTTTTTCCATTTGATTATAGATAGTTTTAATTTCTTTGTCTGAAAACTGTCTCTTCATATCCTTTGACCATTTATCAATTGCGGAATGACTTGTACTTTTATAAATTTTACTTGATTCTCTATATATTTGAGAAATGAGGCCTTTATCAGAGATACATGTTGCAAAAAAATTTCCCAATTTTCTGCTTTCCTTTTAATCTTGGTTGCTTTGGTTTTGCTTGTGAAAAACTTTTTAATTTTATATAATCAAAATTATCTATTTTACATCTTGTAAAACTCTCTGTATTTTCTTTGGTCCTAAATTCTTCCCTTATCTATAGATCTGAAAAATGGACTATCCCATGCTCTCCTAATTTGCTTATGGAATCACACTTTGTGTGTAAATCAGGTACCCATTTTGACCTTATCTTGGTATACAGTGTAAGATGTTGGTCTATACCTAGTTTCTGCCATACTGCTTTACAGTTTTCCCAGCTATGATGATGCTTCCCAAATCTATTTATCTAGCCCTAACTTCTTGGCTGACCTCCAGACTCTCATCTCTAGCTACCTCCCAGACATCTATATCTAGATGTCCAGTAGACATCTTAACTCAATAGGTCCAAAACTGAATTCATTATCTTTCCCCCAAATCCTCTCCCCTTCCAAATTTCCCTTTTACTGTTGGCAGTACCACAATTGTCTCGGTCCCCTAGGCTCAAAACCTAAGCATCATCCTTGGTAGCTCACTATCTCTCATCCTCCCATTAACAATCTGTTGCCAAGTCCTCATGATTTCACCTTTGCAAAATTCCCTCAAATACAACTCTCCTTTTCTGCCTCAACCCTAGTGTATGTCATTATCTCTTCACATATGGAATATTTCCATAGCCTACTGGTTAATCTATCTGCCACAAGTCTCTCCCTACTCGATTCTATCCTTCACTAAGCCACCAAAGTGATTTTCCTAAATTTCAGGTCTGACCATGTCACCCCTATACTTAATAAACTCTAATGGCTCCCTATCACCTCTAGTATCAAACATAAAAAATCCTCAACTTGGCTTCCCATTACCTAGCCCCCATCCCCCCTTTCTTATCTTCTTATATCTTACACCCCTCGACATACTCTTCTATCTACTGGCCTCCTTGCTGTTCCTCAAACAAGACCCTCCAATATCTCAGCTCTGGGTATTTTCTCTGACTGTCCCCCATGCATGGAATGCTCTCTCTCCTCATCTCTACCTCCTGGCTTCCCTGGCTTTCTTCGAGTTCCAGCTAAAATCCCACCTTCTGCAAGAATCCTTTCCCAGTCCTTCTTAATTTTGGTGCCTTCTCTCTGTTTATTATTCCTATTTGTCCTGTATGTAGTTTATTTGTACATGCTTTGTGTGCTTTCTCCCCCATTTCATTGTGAGCTCCTTCAGAGAAGGGTCCGTCTTTTGTTTCTTTTTATATCATCAATGCTTAGCACAGTTCCTGGTACATAGTAGGTACATATACCTTTTTTTTTTTTTTTTAGCAATTAGGGTTAAGTGACTTGCCCAGGGTCACACAGCTAGTTAAGTGTCAAGTGTTTGGTCTGAGGCTGGATTTGAACTCAGGTCCTCCTGACTCCAGGGCTGGTGCTCTATGCCACCTAGCTGCCCCAATAATACCTATTAATAACTGCTCCTCAGTTTCCTCATCTTTGAAGTGGGGATAAACATATTTGCATTATCTGTCTCACAAGTTTCTTGTTAGGAAAGCCTTTTGTAGGTATTGAAATATTTCACAAATGTAAGCTATTGGTATTATTTCTTTTCTTTTTTTTTGGCTAGACAATGGGGTTAAGTGACTTGCCTAAGGTCACACAGCTAGTAAGTGTTATGTGTCTGAGGCCAGATTTGAACTCAGGTCCTCCTGAATCCAGGGCCAGTGCTCTATCCACTGCGCCACCTAGCTGCCCCTGCTATTATTTCTATAGTACTTTCTTGTCCCAAAAAGTTTTCAAATGTAGCATCTCCTTTTATCCTCACAACACTTCAATGAAGAAAGAATGGCAATGAGTATTAACCCCCTTTACAGATGAAGAAAGAGAAATTAACTTCCCCGGGGTTGAATAGGCTAGGAAGTGGCAGAGCCATAATTTCAACCCTAATCTTCTAACTCCATAAAAATTACACTTTCCAATAAATGATTGATACAGTAGAGAAAAACCCAAGGTTTGAAATCAGAAGACTCTTATTCAAGTCCGTTCTATTCTATCTCCATCACTGAGAAACCATACAAACAGGCAAGTCATTTCTCTTGAGCCTTAAGTTTCCCTTGCTGTAAAATTATGGGGTTGGACAAGATGGTGATTGTAGTCCCTTCCCATTCTAATACTCTATTTTCTATATTTTAATATCCCTCTCAGTTCTCTCATTTCATGTTTTAAGGCCCTCTGAGCTCTGACATTCTATGTTTTCATGTCCTAAAAGTCCATCTAACCTTGTTATTCTGTCCTCTATAATTTAATTCTAAATCCATTGACTAGCATTTGCTTAATGTCCAGAATATGTCCCCCCTTTTTTCTTGACCCTAGAAATTTCTTTCAAACCAGGGATGCCATTTCCCCTTTCTCTCCCTCCAGTCTTCCCAGGGGTCTTTTCTTCCCCAAAAAGCCTCTGTTACCTACCACCTATAGGGTGGTGTAGCTCACAACCCTCTTGTCTCCACAGTTCAGATCATCTGCCTTATCACCACCCTGAGAAACACTATCTATAAAGCTCAGCTCTGCCCCCAGTACATTGGGTGGACCCAGACAGGGGCAGCAACACTGAGAGTACAAAACCCAGTCCCAGGGGAGCAAGAAAGAGAGAAGCAATAGACCAGAGTGGAAACTAGGCCACTGACAACCCAAGGCCAATCCAGGGCCCCTGGAAAAGCTGATACACTCAGCTGGATAGGCTAAATAATGACCCCTAAATAATGAGGGCACAGAAAGTGGAGATGTGGTCAAAGTCGGGATCTCTCAGGCACAAGGTTGGGCTCCATATAGGAGGTGGGGGAGAGAAAGAGAGAGACAGAGATAGAGACAGAGAGACAGAGAGAGAGGCAGGGAGGGGGGAGGGAGGAAGAGGAAGAGGAAGACGAGAGGAGAGAGGAGAGCAGAGGAGAGAGACTGAATTCAGGGTGCCCGGGAGTAGTGAAGAAAAACTTCTTAACTTCTTAGGAGAGGCAAGCTTTGAGCTGAGTCCTGAAGGTCAAGTTTGGGGGAGAAAGAGGCAAGGAAGGATTAAGAAGAAGGAGGGATGTTAGGGGGAAGGTGGGGAGAGAATTGTAAACAAGGGAAATCAGTTGAGCCAAATTAGGACAAGGGCAGAGGAATACAGGTTGTCCATATCAAATCAGAATTTTAGCTTTCTCAATTCTTCCTTCAAAATGTCTCTTGTGTCGATCTCCAAAATCACCCAACAGACCTAAGCACCTCTCACCTGAACTGGGTTTTAGAATCATAGTTTTAGAGCTAAAAGAAATCATTTTACAGAGAAGGAGACTGGAGGAGGTTAAGTGATTTGCCCAGAATCACAGTGAAATAAGCAGGAGAGACAGGATTTAAACCCAGGTCTTCTGACTCCAAAACCATTTCTCTTTCCATTACATTACACTGACTATTCTAACAGTCTCCTAACTAGATTACCAAGCTCCAGTCTTCCACACTAATCTGTCCTCCACATAGAGCCTGTCACATTCCTTTCCCTCAAACTCAGTGATAAGGCAGCCAGGAAAAACTATTCTGCATTCAAAGAGAGGCATAGCATCCAGAGCTACAGAGGTGACAGTCCCACTGTACGGTTATTCCTTCCACATTGCAGGGGTTTGGTGCTCCCATGATCTGAAAAATCCATATCAAATGTTTTGGCCCTCCCTTTGTACTAGAGAAGAAATCTGAATCTTTTATGGGCTGTTTATAGTACCTTATTGTAAAATTTGGATTAAGTATTTGGTCATAGGCTATATTATACAATACTGAACATATATTTTATACATTTCTGCATTTCTAAACTTTTTCTGTGTAGTCTCTTGACCTTTGTGTGTCATCTGCAGCTTCTGCAAAACTCCCAAAAATTCCCATTTAATTTCTTAAACTAACCCATGATATGTCAAAACCACAATGGGAAAAATCATTATGTAGAAGGGATAATTGTGCTCTACCCTGGTCAGACCAACTTGACGGGAAGTAGCATGTTGTTGTTCAGTCACTTTTCAGTCGTGTCTGACTTTTCATGACCCCATTTGGGGTTTTCTTGGCAGAGATACTGGAGTGGTTTGCCATTTCCTTGTCTGGCTCATTTTATGGATGAGGAAACTGAGGCAAACAGGGTTAAGTGACTTGCCCAGGGTCACACAGCTAGTAAGTGTCTGAGGCCTGATTTGAACTCAGGAAGAGGAGTCTTCCCAACTCCAGGCCCAGCACTCTATTCACTCCCTGCTCCACCTATCCCAGGATGATGGTGGGTCTTGAGATCATGCCCTGTAAGGATCAGCTAAAAGAACTGGAAATATTTAGCCTAAAGAAAAGACTTAAGGGAAAGGTAAGAGCTGTCTTCAAGTTAGAGCTAGCATCAATAGGTAGAAGACACAAAGAGGCAAATTAAGGTGGCATGAAGGAAAGCTTCTAAACAATTACAGCCACCCAAAAATGTCATGGGCTCCAATGGGGAGATAGTTGGTTTCCCTTACTGGGCATATGCAAGCACAGATTTGTTGGGTGTGTTGCAGAGCGGCTTCTCCTTGGGGTATGGGTTGGCCTAGAAGGCATCTGAGGTCCCTTCTAAATCTGAGATTCTGTGATTCTAATTATTACACTCCTCTGCTCAGTAACTTTTGACAACTACCCATCATCTACAGTCGAGGTGTAAAACTCTGGCTTGTGACTGCCTGGGGCCCGCAAAACTCTCCAGTGCCTAGGGAACAAGATTAAAATGTACTTGGGAATTGTTTAACAAAAAATATGTAGATAATGTTAGTTTTATGGTTTTCCAAGTCAATATGTGGCCTACAGGATTCATTTCTATTTGAATTTGATTCTCATTTTGGCATTCAATGTACTCCATAATCTGTCTATCTCCCCATACTTTATCTCCCCCTTCTCTATGGAATCATAACTGGCATGGGGCAAATGATCATTTGTCCCAGGCCACTGTGCCTGCTGGTAGCTGCTCAGTCCACTTGCCTTCACTCTACCTTCTGCAATGGGATGCACCAGAACCATTCCAGGTCCCCAGTCATCACCCTCGTGGTCTGTCTTCATGCTCATCTGTCTGCTGCTTCTCTCTAAAATGAATTTTCCCAAGACATTACTAAATCTGGTTGCCCCACTCACCATTCTTCAAATCCAGCTAAGCCAGTCTCTTCATAGGCCCCAAGCATACATAAACATTACCATTTCTAGATAACTCTCACTGTCCTCCCTACCAATAGTGTCCTTCCTTCTCTTCTCCAATCCTACCTTTCCTTCAAGGCCTAGTGAAGCCTTCCAAAAACATTCCAGCCCACAGGGAACTCTCCCTCTTCCAAGACCATGTAATAAGCATTTGTTCCTTGGACACACACTTTTCTATAGTATTATCTAATTTTTGTATACGTATTAGTCTTCATTCCCCATGGAGGTTTCCTCCTCCCCACAGTCAGACATTAGGTGGCCTAATTCTGTCTCCCTTCTAGCACTAAGCAAAGGCCTAAGAGTAAGCAGATTCTATAAATACCAGTTGACTTAACACACTCGAACAGCCCCAGACACTCTCTAAACAACACTAGCCAGCATCTAGTATAGAATTAATTCCTAAAATAAATAAATAAATAACAAAAAAATTTTAAAAAGAATTGATTGCTAGTTATGTACTCTGAAAGAAGCAGCCCAAACCACAGTTCGTCCAAAAGCATAGTTAATCAAGAAATTATTCTGTTTAATTTTTGAAGTGTACTCATATTTAGGTTTTAAAAAGAAAAAATTATCTTCCTAACTGTGCTTTGCTTAAATAAATCTTTCACTGAATATTTATCCTCCAATAAATGGCCCCAGAGGCAGACCAAAACATCTCAGAACACAGCAGGGTGGGATGATTGTACCTGCAAGTACAGGAATGGAGGTTAATAAACCAGGAAGGGAGGAGGAGACCTCTTACCATTTATTGGTGGTCCACAGAAAGGTGAAGTCAGCAAAGTGTGCCCCCATGGGGGATGGTCCCTATCTCCCCAATAACTTCAGGATACTTGTCTTGAAGTTTTGATTCCTTCCTCTTATCTCCTTCTCCTTATATCCAAGTCTGCTCAAAGGAAGGACTGCTCAGTTTCTTCACTGAGAGGTGCCAGTGCTTAGTGACAGCTTAGACTATGGGCCCCTTCCAAAGGCACTTTTTTTGTAATAGAGTAGAGTGACTTCACACCATATGGATGAAAGAGAATGAAGCATAGACTTATTTTTTTTTTACTTAATTTAATTACTTTTTCTACAAATCTGACTAGTATGCATTGATTTTGTCTCCCTTCCATTCTAACCTCCTTCCGTTGAACACAACAAAAAAGAAAAAGAAAAGCCTCATAATAAATATGCATAAACCAACAAAGCTAAGTCCTTCATTGGCCACATCCAAAAATGTACCTCTCATTCTGAATTTTAAGTCCATTGTGTCTCTGGGAGGATTTACCTTCAGTCAGTTGGAATTATGGCTTGTCATTGCATTGATCAAAGCTCTAAAGTTTTTCAAAGTTATTTTTTTCTTTATAATGTTGTTGTCATTGTTTAAATTGTTCTCCTGGTTCTGTTTGCTTTACTCTGTGTTAGTTCATAGAGGTCTTATCAATTTCCTCTGAAACTCTCCACTTCTTTTCTTATGGCACAATAATATTCATTACAGTCATAGACCATAATTTGTCCAACTATTCCCCAATCAGTGAGCGCCCCTTTGGTTTCCATGGTTTTAAAACAATACATTCTAATGGTCAGGCATGAATAGCATGGCCAAAGGGAAGACTTAGAGATAGGGGGTCCTTCTACAACCCCTGAACTCATATCCTCTGGGTAGTCATGTCACTTATTTGGAAAATCAGCCTTGCAGCAATATCCAAACCAGGCAAGAATATGACCCTGCTAGGTCTTGACTTGAGCCAGCATGGGCTTAAGGCCAAAGGAGTAAACTTGAATTCTAATTACTCCATAAGACCAGGGTCCAGCAATGATTAGGGGTTGGGCTGTGGGGGGTTGTCAAGAGACACACCCCAGCCAAACTGGAAGGAAGCAACTTGAATATTCAGTATATATCTTCTCTTCCACCATTCTTCTCCCTTGCCCCAGCTCTAATTATATATTCTACCCCTCAGGGCAGCTAGGTGGTGCAGTGTATAGAGCTCCAGCCTTGGAGTCAGGAGGACCTGAGTTCAAATCCAACCTCAGACACTTGACGCTTACTAGTTGTGTGACCCTGGACAAGTCACTTAACCCTGATTGCTTCACCAAAAAAGCAAAAAACAAAAAACAAAAAAACTTAGATTTCTACCCCTCTCCACACACCACACACACACAATTCAAAAATTATGTCCCTTAGAACCAATAACATTGGTTCTTCTGAGAATGCTAAGACATGAATGGACAACCACATTATCTTAGTAACAACAACAAAGAAAAAAAAATAGCTCTGACCATAAGGGAGTGGCTTTGTATTGTGACCAAATAAAACTTAAAATAAAGTTAACCTGCCACTCATTTCATTCATTCATTTCTTCATTCCATGAACATTTTTAGTACCTATTATGAACAATAAATGCATTGTACTCAACACTGCTAGGGCTATAAGAATGATGTCCCTTCTAGAGGTAATTAGATGGTATAACAGCTAGAGCTCTGGGTCTAGAACGAGAAAGACTTGAATTCAAACCTGGCCTCAGATACTTTTTAGCTGTGTGACCCAGGACAAAACTCTTAAACACCATTTGCCTCAGTTTTTTCATCTGTAAAATGGGGAAAATAATAGCACCCACCTTCCAGGGTTGTTGTGAGGCTCAAATGAGGTGATATTTATAGAACATTTAGCACCATACTGGCACACAGTAAGCACTTAAATGCTTGTTTACTCCCTTCTGTCTCTCAGAGAGCTAGCAATCTAGTGACGTTAATACCACTTGGACAAAGATAAACATAATACAAATTCAAATGGAAAAAGCAGTGTTCACATTTAGTGTTTAGTAAATTGTTAAATGGATGAATAAATATGCTCTTTAGCACATAAAAGGAGGATGATAAAATGCTATGAGGTCAAATAAACTTCATTTCTGCCTAGATCAAAGGTGATATTTGTTCAAATCTAACCATAGCATAAGAAAGTGGTACCTATCCTTTCCTGTTGCTTTCAAAACTGAACATAAGAAAGCAGATCAACTTGGCAAAAAAAAAAAATTTAAAGGCACTATTTCAAACCAGAAGACAAAGGGTTAAATCAGGCCTCTACCACTTTCTAACAATATGACTTTGGCCAAATTACTTAAGCAAGCATCTATTAAGCACCTGTAATGTGCCAGGTCCAGTGATAAACATTTTACAAATATCTCATTTGATCATCGTCACAACCCTTTGAGGTAAGTGCTGTCATCCCCATTTTATAGTTAAGGAAACTGAGACAGATCAAGGTTAAGTGACTTGCCCAATAAGTATTTGAGGCTGGATGTGAACTCATGTCTTCCTGACTCCAGGCCCAGCACTGTATCCACTGCATCATCTAACTTCTCAACCTCTCTGGGCCTCATTCTGCCTAATTGTAAAATGAAAATGTTGGGGTAGGTGGTCTCTGTGGTCCCCGTCAGCTCTAAATCCTATGAGCCAATGATTGCTCTCTTTCAATATCTGAAGGGTTGTTAGGTAGAAGAAATATTTGGACTCATTCTGCTTGGCCCCAAAGGGCAGAATTGGATGCAGGTTCCAGATCAGTCTTGGGAAGAACTTCCTGAAACTTAAAGCTATCCAGCAAAGAGAGGGACTGTCTTGGGAGGTCGTATGTCACAGGAGATGGGCAAGCCAAAGCTGGGCAAGCCCTCTGCTGGGAGATGCTATATAGAGGATTTGAGGATCAAGCAGGGGATTGGACAAGATGACCCCTGAGTTCCCTAAAAATTCTCAGATTACCCCGTGACTGAACAAAGGAGCTTGACATATGGCTCTTTCTCTTTTTACAGCAAGAAGTTGCTTCATAAAGTGGTGGAGAAGCTGGCCATTCTCTTCTTCTGTACATTTGGTATGTGCTAGAAGATAACCTAGATCTTAGGCTGATAATCTCTGAATGTAGCACCAACTATCAACAAAATTGTGAAAGACACTGGGCTGGTTTGGGGTGGCCCCTCCCACCTCTGCACCTGCCTCACTTCCCTTTTACTGAATCCCTCGCATTCTCCGTTAGCACCTTTTTCTGCCCTTGATAGCACCCCCTGTTGTAGAGTCTTTGCCCCACCCCTCCCCGCTCAGTTCTAAATCCTATGATCCTAAAATATACTTGTCTGCAGAACGTCTTTCCAACTCACAGCTTGGATAATTGTGGTTAGAATCCCAGTCCCCACAACAAGCAGAAAACGGAGGGGTTTGAGGGTAGGGTACCACATAGTAAAAACAACCCCCCAAGACTACTCCTGAGCTAGAAGACAGGGATGGGCCTCATTCTCCCTTTTGCTCCCTCCACAGCCTTCTGGTGCATTGTCATTTGCTTGCCAACCAAACTGGATATAAGGAGAATGAACATGATGACTGCAGGTGAGGAGGGTGGCATTCAGGGCTCCTCCAGCCCCAGCCTCAGATTGTTTGCCCGGTCTTCTTCTCCACAGTTCCCCTCTGTATAACCTGTTAGCCTCCAAACCCCAAAACACACAGGGCTTTCCTGCCTGGGACACCCTCCCCCTCCACTCTGCCATCCAAACCCTGTCCAGCATCCAGAACCCATCTCAGGCCCACCCCTTCCAGGAAGCTTTTCTGACCAGTGTACAGGGATCTCTCCTCTTCCAACCTCAAATAAGACAGGATTGTAGATATAGTAGACATTCAAAAAATGTTCCTTAAAATGAACTGTACTTTGTCTCATGTGTACTACACACATTCAATTTTGTATAACCAGTCTTTCTGACCGTGCCTTTCCAATCCCCACTAGCCTGTGAGCTCCTCCACAATGTTTCATAATGAAAAGTGAATGTCAGAACTGAAAGGAACCTCAGAATAGTATTGTGACCCTAAATTCTGGCCCGAGTCACTGAACCACCAAATCTCAGAACTGGAAGTAACCTGATTCAAAAAGCAGAGCAACCAATGAGGGGAACTGTGATTCTGGCCCCTATTATCACAAGGGAAGAGAAGGAAAGAGCATTTATTAAGTGCCTACTATATACCAGGCACTGTGCCAAGCACTTTACAAATATCTCATTTGATCCTCACAGCAACTCCTGGGATGTAGGTGCTATTATTATCCCCATTTTACTGCTGAAGGAACTGAGGCAGGCAGAAGTTAAATGATTTGCCCAGGATCATACAGCTAGGAAGTATCTAAGGCTGGATTTGAACTCAAGTCTTCCTGATTCTAGGCCCAGTGCTCTATCCATTGCCATCTAACTGGTAGCTGAAGTAGAAATGATGGGAGCCTTGAGAGGAAGTGACTATCAATCTTAGAGTCTAATATATAAGAAGAAAGCTGACATGCCCCCTCAACTTCAGGAATAACAATTTCAAAAGAGTTCAGAAAAAAAGATAATTGGGATCCTGTGGCCTAAAATACCACAGTAGGTTAGCCCCAAAGGGATAGGATGCCCTTAAGATTGAATAGCAACATAGTCCATAGGGCACTGTAATCGAGAAGATATGTTTCAGACACTTGACTGTGTGACCCTGGGCAGGTCATTTAACCTCTCTGGGCCTCAATGCCAACCTCAGCTATAAAGCTCGTGGTGGGGCTGGGGAGCTGGGGTGGGACAAGAGGCAGAGAGGAGCCACTAAGATCTTCAAGCTGGATAACCACGTTTCAGGAATATTCTAGAAGAAATTCTTTTTCATGTCCAGGTTGGGGACTAGATGCCTTCCAAGGTCCCCTTTAGCTCTGGCAGTTTATGATTCGGTGACTTTATAGGTCATCTAGTCCAACCACTTCATTTTAGATATGAGGGACACTTGTCTAAGGGCACACAGCAACTCAGTGAAAGAAACAGAAGTAGAATGCAGACCTCAGTGTGGGTCTCTTTCTACTACATTACAATGCCTTTGTCCATCTCTGTCTTCTGCTCCCTCCCATTGCCCCCC